AACAGAAGATATTTCTTGATTGAGCGACAGGGCAACCTGCTGAATTCGACTCCCGAACGGTGTCTCGACTCTCGACCGGACACCAGTTCAGTTGGCACGGTGGAAGCAGCAGCCGCAAAACCCACCTTTGCCCGCGCACTGTGCACACAGAGCTACTAACAGGATCCCAGAGGGTCCCGCGTCCTCCCCATGTCGCGCTATGAGGACTGGATGACGTCAGCTCTCATGCCCGGCGCCCACTCGTCCACGCATTGGGCTCATGGCCTCGTCCCGGTAAACAGAGTGAAACTTGTCAAGAAGGTTTGCTGATTGAATGGTATGCTGGTCCGCGTTTTCTTTAAGCCACGGCCCAGATCACGGTGAGCAAGCTCAGTCACATTTGTGAATATTCTCCCCAATATCCTGGAGCGTGGTAGAGTTACGTCACTGGCATGCAGCCATCCCGGCAAAGGCGCTTTCCCCAGAGTTTCGAGATTGATGCCTTTTTGCCCGCCAGTCTTCTGATTCCAGCCTTACTGGGTGGTGCGCAATCTCGAAACGCCTACAGTTGGCGAATGCCGTGTAAACAGGGCTCTGTCGTTTTTTTACCCAGTCGCCGGGATTCCGGATTTCACAATCAATGCCCACCCGTAGGGTAAGTCACCAGACTCGAATACCACGGCACGTGAATGCGACATGATCAAAACAAAGGAACAAGTCCAGGTTTTGTTTTGGTTCTTGAGAGCTTGTACATGCAGGAGACGAGATTTAGGCTAGCCACCTAGCTAGCACCGTTCGTTTCACATTGGAGATTCTAGAAGAGGCGTACTAGGTCTGTAGCGTAAAATGCCATCAAAAGTAAATTGTGTTGTTAATCAATGGACGGTCATATGGTAAATAGAAAAAGCTAATATCTTCACCTCGGCCACGCCAACAACGTGACAGGGACCAAGTAACCATAAAACAAATAAGTGAATCAATAAATCACAATTTCGTGCCCGCCTCCCTCCCTTTCTGAATCCTAAACCCATGCCTCGGCGCATGCACTCTCACCTCCTGCTTCCCCTCGCCCTCCGGCTTGGTCTCATATACCACCTCGTCGCCGGCCAAGCTCACCAGCCGACCAACATCCTTCCTCGTGGCCCCAAAATCAGTCGGCCCAACCGTAATCTCATCCCCCTTCCTCAGCCCTAGCTTCGCCACCTCAAAGTCCCCCTCGTCCACGGGGCCCTCACTCTCGTGATACTCCGAGGCCAGGATCAACTTCTCCGCCTCCTCGCCGCTCACGGTCCTCGGCTTGCCCGCCTTCTTCCTCGCCTGCTGAAGAGCCTCCTCGAAGCGCTGGATCCACGCGTAGACCTTGGGGTACACCCGCGGACCGAACCTGTCCTTTGGCAAGGCGCCAGGTAGCCCGGCCAGCCAGTGCAGCGGCCACACGGCCTCAATGTCAGCGAGGCCGGGGCCCGGGGTCTTGAGGATCCAGTCCCTCCCGTCGGCGAGGAGGGTCGTCTCGAGGAGGTTGAACACGGAGGCCACCTCGCGGAGGGCAACGTGCTTGGGGTCAGGCCGAGGCTGCGTGCCAAAGAACTCCGCCCTGTCCTTTTGGAAGGTTGGGTTCTTGAGGAGGGGCAGGTCGCTGGGGAGCAGGGAGGCGGCCCAGCCGAACACGCCGGCATCTGTCATCAGCGTTGAGAGAAGACGCTCGATGGCCCGCTGATCGGGCTGGCTTGTTCCGAGGCGGGGGAGAGAAATGTCCATGTTTTCAAGCTTGATGAACTGTAGACGGGTATCCAGGTAGACGTCTCTGCCGATGGAGAGGATGGGAATGCGTCTGTATCCAATTCCGAGGCGTGCCACGTCTGGGCGAGGCATTGTAGGTGGTTGAACCTTGGTATAGTCAGTATTGGGGCCAGACGCTGGGCTTTTCTTTCTAAGAACTTACACATTGTGCGTACGGAATTCCGCGAAGGGTGAGATACCATGCGACTCTTCGAGCGTATGGGGAGTAGGAGTAATGATAGAGAATGATGTTCTCGGAAGCCATTTTTGTGTCAATTCACGGATTTACTTGGAAAAGAGATGCGTCTTCTACTTCACGCAGCCGCTCTGATAATTGGAAGTCCTATCCAGCGTTATAAGCGTTATGGTTGTTTGGAATCATCGCCAGGCCGACAAGCCGACGAGGTCTTGATGCCTTTACCTCGGTTTTATGCGGGGGCGGGGTTGCAACTCCTAGCCAATAGCGTGTTACAGACTAGGAGCACCCTCGGTACGAAGCATAATATCACCATGGCGGAAGATTAACATGGTCTATGGCAATTCATTTCAGCTAAGTCTGGGGCAGAGCAACCTATCTGCTGTAATAAATCATGGCGTCCTCGCCGAGGGCCATACAGCGGAATCTCGAGTCGCCGCGAAAACAAAGAAGCAGAACTATAGCAAACTCGCAACCCTCTGAAAACCCCAAGACTCACGGTTAATATTGCGCCCGGAAATTACCATCCGCAGTTCTCGGCAGTGAGCTCACCGGACTGGCCGCCTCCATCGCCACTTGGCCAAGCCGAATCCGCGGTAACGCCATTGGAATTTTCAGCTGCATCGGGGAAACCGCCGTCATCATCAGCAACAAGTGGTTCCTTGCAGCGGACTTTGGTATGTCCGAATTTCTGGCAGTTTGAACACTGCACTTTGCTCCCTGTACAACATTAGGATGGATCAAAGAAGGAAGCTGGAGACACGTACAATCTTTTGGCTCAGGGCAGTCCCTGCTGAAATGCCCAGTCTTTTCGCAGTTACGGCATGTAACATTATCCATGTTACGCGGCTGATCGCACTCTTTGGCCATGTGACCTTCCTGCCCACAGTTGCGACAGGCTCGACTACCTCCCTGTGGGCAATCCTTACCCATGTGGCCCTCTGAACTGAATTAGAGATACTCCATGAATCATCTGTGAAATTGACTTACTCTCGCCGCATTTCCGACACTCCATATTGTCCAAATTGGGAGGCTCTTCACAATCAGAAGCCCTGTGGCCAGATTTTCTGCAGCAGTCAGTACTGGTGTGTAGAATCCATAGGAAACATGGGACGTATAGCATAACCTACCCGCAGTTTCGGCAGGCAAACTTGTCTACTCGTGGTTCGGGGCCTGTCAATTACTGTGAGTGCCATGGAATCAAAAAGAGCTTCAAAGCCTTACAGTCCCGAATACGATGGCCCTCGCCGCCGCAGTTGCTGCACGAAATGGCAGGCTGGGCTTTCTTCTCGACCTTCTCCTGAGTGCAGAACTTGCTGGAGTGCCCCAATTCACCACAGTTGTGGCACTTCCGAAGACCGGTGTCGACTACCTCACCAGCATCATCAAGCCTCTCCAAGAGTTCCTCGCGGCTCTTTGGAAACGCTTCAGCCTCACGAGGGCGTTCGGGTTTCTCTGAGAACCTGTACGAGATTGTGTACTTCTTTCCAGTATGGCCTTGAAGGTCCATATTGGTGAAGACATTTACGAGTTGACGCTCAGTAGCAATGAACCAAAGATTGATGCCTTGATCAATAAACAGAGACTGCAGCTGGCGGTAGGTGGCGTCTCCTCCGATGGCTTTGACGTACTCCTGAAGCGCTTCTTTCGCGTCGTCGACATCTCGCTCGGAGCAAGCAGTCTTGAGCTTGGAGAGAGCTTCCTCAGGAGAAATATCGGCAACATGATCTCTGTTGATGACCCGCGCATTCTCACAGTTCTTCCGCATATGACCTGCATTTCATGATTAGCAGTGTTTCTTGCCATCATTTGTTGATTGAATCTGTACCTTCCTGGCCGCAGTTGTCACACACCATGGGCGGCTTGTCTGGGCAGTCCCGAATCATATGCCCCTCCTTCTTGCAATAACGGCAAGCGGTGTCTCGAGGAGTCGGGCAATCGGCAGCTCGGTGGCTTTGGTCACGTTAGCTCTGCAAACTATAACTTTGACGGAATAATTACACAGGCACTTACCCAGTTTCACCGCAGTTGAAACACTTGTTGTTGGCGTCATCATTGCCAGCTTCCGTATGTTGGTTGGGGCAGTTCGCCTCCTCGTGGCTTCGAAACGTTGTCAATCACCTTACACCCAATCTGCTAGCATGCTACTTACCCTTCCTGACTACAAGCACCGCATTTTACTTGAGGCTGATTCCATCCTGAATCATTGCCTCCAGCTGATCCCCAGTTGTCACCAGAATTTCCCCAGTCTCCCATTTTGATAAGGAATGATACGGACTGGCTAGATAGATTATTGGCACAATCGAGGTCTCAAACGAGAAGTCCAACGAATCCCGTAGTCAAGACGAGGTTGGAAAAGGTCATCCAACGTGTCTTGAAGGCTAAATCAAGAGAAAAACGTGCGGGCTCAAAAAAGACTTTCGATGAAATGTCAGTCGAAGCGTGTGATAAGAGAGAAAAGATGCGTTTAGTCGACAACGCACACTGCGATGCTAGAGTGGAATTTAAACAAGGCACGAAACGTTGCGGCCTGATGAGGAAGAAGAGAGAAATACACAGGAAGGCGGGCGTGCGAGCAAAATAAATAAGGAAGCGGCGGTTCGTCGGGTGCCTGACACCTGGCAGCCGCGTTCTGACAACTGCTAGTGCCCAAGCAGGTGTAATCTAGAAAGACGCAAGTGTCAACTTGAACTTCTCGGCAGGTCCTTCCATCAGGCCCCCATCATTGAGTGGGATGTTAAGCCAGGACAAAGAAGTGCTGTGTTTGTTTAGCATCTTCTACCGTATAAACGTCCAATTCATGCATAGAAATTGCTGGATTCGGAGGGCAACCCGCCACGGAGGGTCGGGGACATGTTGTGAATACCCTTGACGTATATTCGCATGGTAGCATGCCTTACTTGCGCTACACATCATCTTACATCATATACAAAATGAGACCACCAGAACGCCTTGATTTTCCTCCGTTCCCGATGCAAAGCTACTTATGCTGTGGACACGACACACCACGTATGGATAAAGATTACTGGTTGCTCTTATCCATGTGTCATGTCTTGTTGGTCTCCCCCTCTTCCTCGTCACTGTCGTCTCCAATGCTATATTTACTCTCCCCACGACCAATCGACTCTTGTAGGGGGATGTTGTCGACAGTTGTCTCGTCGAATGCAGCGGCTTCTAAGTCACGATCACTCTGACGGTTATGGAAAGCAGCTAGACCAGTCCTCGACTGGCCAGCGGCCTCGTCGCTTTGCAAAGCAGAGTACGCTGTACCCTTGCGTCGTTGGCGCCAGACGAAGTAGCCCCATACCGAAGCAGCGATGATTACAATCACTAGCACGACCTCACCAGATCGCTGATAGGCAAGCCACTGGGCTTCCTTCAGCTTCTGCTTTGTCTCTTCTTCATGTTGTTGGGTGTTGTTCTTAGCTCCACCGACAGAGGTGTCTGGACCCTTCTCGCCATCAATTCGACTGTCCGACGGCTCACCGCCAATGCTGCTGATGTCGACCTTCATGAAGCGGTCCAGCATATCTCGTGAGCGTCGTGGGTAGTCAAAGGGGACCATGTGTGACGCGTTATGGAAGAGAACATAGGTGAGGTTACGAGCCTCCTGCCAAAAACCAGCAACCTCGCCCTCGAAGGTCCATTGCCTCCTGGGAGCCCAGTTGCCTGGCGTGACCTCGAAACCCTTGCCTTCATTCCATGCCAGATTGCTAATCAACTCCTCTGTACCAACGTGATTGCAAATAAGGTCCTCGGCTCCGGAGAAGAGAAGAATAGGGACCTCTTTCAGAATATCGGGGAGTAGCGAGATGGAGGCTGTCGCGTTCTGGTTCCTGAAGTTGGCATTGACCATGCTATTACACTCCTGCCAGCCAGTGTTTCGTTGCTTATCGAGATTCAACGCACTAATGACCTGAGGCTGCCGCAAATAAGGGCCGACATACTTCAAATCCGGAGGCCAATTCATGCCGCAGGAAGGAGCTGAGTCACGGAGTCGGACATCATACATGTTGATGCACTCCTGATCACCAGAGCCCACCCTGGTAAGTTCGAGAATTTTATTCAGAATGGACTCACACTCGGGATAGTCAACATGTCCAGGGTTGATGGACATTTCCTTGTCGCAGATTCTCTGCATTTGTTGGAGCTGCTGGGCGTTATCTGACCCCTTTTCAATCAGGCCCCTTTCAAGACTAAATTTGAGGTATGCGCTGGATTGGTCTTGGGGAGAGATCCAGCCATTGCCAATAAGTAGACCGCCGAGGTTCCATGTTTCAGCGCGAGATTTTGACTTGTTGCGATCGAGGATGGCTCTCGCAATATAGGGAATATGCTGTCCAGCGTATGACTCTCCAGCAATGTAGAGCTGTACGGCAAGTCAGCGGGGCAGCGACAGCAAAATACATTTCGCGAAATGTACTTACATCATCTGACTGGTATTCTGGAAAAAGCGCGAAAAACTTTTCCAAAAACGTAATAAACTGAGTCGCCATGGCATTCAACCCATGAATGTAGCTATTCGTGTCGACATAACTGAAGCCTGTGCCGACCGGATTATCGACAAAGAGCAAATTTGCAAATTCATTCCAGGTACCGTTATTCAGGGTCAAGGCATTGTCCTTTGTAACTCTGTAAGGCCCAACCTCCATCAAGGCGCCATCCTCGGAACTACATCCTGGCCCACCGTTGAGCCATATGACAGTTCGTTGCCGGTTCGCAATGTGGTTGTTTTGAAAGTGCCAGAAAAACAAGTTGCCATTGGTTTCAGGAGTGACCTCGATGTGACTAAAAACCAGTGTCAACTAATGTTAGTCTTCTTTTCCCAAGATTCCTCTAGCTAGAGGCCCAGTTCGCAACATGGCCGAGGGACGGTGATGGGTTGACTCACCCTGCATGCATCTTGATCGGAGGAGAATTCTTGGGAAGTCCCGGCAGCTCACGGACGTAGTAGTCGGCAGCAGACTTATCGCCAGCCAGGGTTGAAGCCGGCCAAAGTGCCAGGATCGCGAGCGCATGCCATGATGTGGCGAGGGACCAAGAGAACCGCGGAGCCATGACGACGAGATGCCGGAGGATGATGGCTGCTCACAAGCCAGGGGATGCGGATGCCAGCGGCAGGAGCAAAAGAGCAGTCGGTTGTAGCGGTGCTAAGTCATCAAATACAAGTCCGAAAGGGATGCCGAGGATGAGGTGGTGGAATGTTCAATGATACAAGAGAGATGGGTTTATCATTATCATCGTCTTACGGAGGAAGAGGCGATGTGGCTCATAGGAAGTTGAGGCCTGTGATGCTGTCGGGAAGCAGTCAAGTTGGAACTCGGACGCAGGAGGCGGTGCTGGCGGATTCCGGCCAGAGACCCCTGATCTGCCAATCGGCACTCGAGCTAGTACCAATTTGGTCGACGTGGCTGGTGGCCAACACCTTGTCAATAGGACTAGTGCCTCATTGACCATCTCTTGAAGAATACTCCGTACGCAAAGCGATAATGGCGAAGGACAATGGACGCCCAACGGGCAGAAGCGTTTTGCCCCTCTTCTGTATTAACCAATTTCATAGCATAAGCTCAAGCTAGTTTCGAATAGAGAACTGGTTTAGCTGCAGAATCAGTCACTTTGTACACTCTCCACCTCGTCCCATGTGGCTCTGAAAAACCACCGCGCCCACCAAGCCCTCCTGTACCGCACTCCAGATATCCAATCGGCCTCACACCTCGAATTTTCCCAACCCGCATACAGGCTGGCCGTCTCAAGAACGCACCTCTGACCAGTCTCGGCGTCAGCCTATTCACATCGCCACAACCGTCATATCACTGAAAAAGCACGCCTCCAAGACCTGTGTCTCTTATTTACAAGACGCCCAGTTGAAAAAAAAAAGAAGTCCTTACCCCGCCAAAATGGTGGGCAAAACTTTCATCGTCGAGCATCTCGACCCCGAGCTCGGCCCCTGGTCAGAGCTAGAATACATCGCCATCGCCAAAGAAACCCAAGAAACCAAGGGCAACTTCCTCCTATCCAGTCTACCTACTGAATTCAAAGTCCCCGCAGCATTGAACGGCATCCCCGCATTCAAGCCAGAGCACCGTGGTGTCGAGGAGCTGTACGCGGACAACAAGGCCAAAGTGTGTCTGTTAGATCCCGCTGCGGCAAAGGATCTATCACCTGAGGACGGGGAGACGTTTGATGCGTTTTTGTTCGGTGGTATCTTGGGTATGCATGCTCCAACATAGCCGAGGTGAATCTTGAGACTAAATGGAAACTGAATAGGTGATGACCCGCCAAGAGGTTGGTGCTAGAACAGCAAGTGGAAAGATCAAGCAGTGCTAATGGATGTAGACCGAACCTCGGAGCTCAGGAGGAAGGGTTTTGAAGGACGAAGATTGGGGCCTAAGCAGATGACCACGGATACGGCTGTACGGGTGACTCGCTTGGTTGTTCAGGATGGCAGTAGGTCCCTTTCGGTCAAAATACCGATGTGTCAATTGTGCTAACGAGAACAAGTTGCCCTGGACAAGGTCCCATATGTCGACTTTCCAGAGTTAAAATTCAACGCTCACGAGAGCACGCAAATGCCCTTCCGGTATGTGACAGACAAGGAGGGGAACCCAATTATGCCAGAAGTAAGTAAAGAATCACAGTGTGCCATGGCTGAAAGATGAGAATCTGATAATGATGTAGGGAATGAAGGAATTGATACAAAAGGATGCGGACAAGTCACTAGATGACTTGCTTTAAGAAGTGAGATAGACAAAAAGCCAGGCAATGGTTCAAATTAACAAAAAAAAAACACAACTGAATGGCGGTCATATGTGACGATTCTAAAGAACCTCAGCGGACAACAGCGGCATGCGGATAGATTCATCTTCGTAAGGGTCGGTCCAACCTGTTCCATCACGTTGCTGTCTTACGTGCTGTAACCATTCAACCAGAAACAACAATCAACAATAGCCTCGAACTGCATAACGGCCATCGTCGTCATTGATCAAGGTACTCGTATGTTGATGCCAACTTGAGTCAAAGTCAAGCTCCCACGACGGGGTTTGCCTACCCTACATTCTAAAACAGTCGAACATATTCATCACATTGCTGCCACGCCTCAAGAGGCAAGACCGTGGTGCGCGGGCCTACGCAACCCCGGCTATGGACATGGCATGTCCACCGAGACGAGGAGGAGACTGGAAAAGCCTCTCACCAAGCCGCCGTAACACCTCGACACTGTGACCCCTTATCAAAACAATCACCAGACATGCGTCAAGCTCCACGATAATTCTCCGACGCATAGGTGCATGACGTCCGTATCACAGGCACAGCGTATATATTGGATCTGACGCAACTAGGCACATCCCCCGACCTGTCTCCTTGCGACAGCAAAGCCGTAGAGCGACCTCACCCAACTCGGGCAGGACTGAATGTTTTGTCAACAAGAAGTCGTCTCTTGTGAACCCGAGACAAGTGTTGTTCAAACACATCGTGAGCCAAGTCTAAAAAAAGAACATCAAATACTACTACACATACTAGCAATGTGTTGCACGTCCATTGTAGACATGATTGTGGACCTCGGTAGTCGCAACATTTGCCAGGGGCGTCGCTCTGCCCAACTCTGAAACAGTAGCGAGCACATTGAGTTTTCGGGCGCTTCTTCAACCTATGTTGGAAACAAATGGCCGCGAAAGTGGGACAATTTTAAAATTATTCTACGAGTGTGCGCATACGTCAGGTGAACAAAACAGACCAAAACTTTCAAACCGTCAGCATCAAGTTTGTGACATTCGGCTGCGGTGGGTAACCGTCCGCGCCATTCACCCTTCAACAACAACGTCGTCCGCTTTGGTCAAGGTGGCTTGGAACGGCATATGTCCTCCAACATGGGCCTTTTAGGTATTGGATTTACCCGCGGGAGGCAGCACCTTCACCAAGGAGGTGTTCAAGATCCTGGCATCGTTCCTTCAGAGCAAACCGCTGACATGGTCTGGTGAGCATCAGCATTATGGTGGTCTAGCCTTCTTGGTTGAACTGTTCCCATGCAGCCACAACAGCCGGCAAGGATAGGGGTGTACGAGCGGTTCTCACAATTTGTCTGATATTCGTCGAGCCAGGCGAGGGTTGGCCGTTCGGATGAACGCCTAGGCGCGGCAACAAAGCCAGTCCTGGCACCATCATACGACTTCAGGAGCCAACCTATAGCAGCCATTATACACCTTTCTAGCCAATGGATGCCGCCCGTCTTCATTCGTGGATAAACATTCCAGTTTTAATCAAGGGCCGAAATGGAGCTTGAAAGGTCTTCTGGTTCGCAAACTTGTTGTTGGACATCGGGGGATCAAAAGGAAGAAAGAAGGTGTTCGGTCCGTTCAGGGACGAATAGACATCCCTGCTCATAGCTTGTCGATTCCGCCTGAAACATCTCACCGACTGTTGCCACCGTATTTTTGTCTTCCACCTTGTACAAGGTTAAATCGATCTGAGCAGCCGGGGTAACGGAGAATCGCTGGGCAGGGACTAAAGCGTGATCAGAGTAACAGCTAGTGCACATAGCGTTTGCATGAAGATCGGCACTCTCCTTGCTGGTGCAGCTCTCACAAGGATGAATCATCCTCATGTAATTATCTTGGGGTGTCTGCAAGACTGCCATGCACAGCACTGCTCACGACGAGGTTTTGATACTCCCCTAGGACGGTTGTGGCAACCTTCGTTGGATATGCTGAAGTTGAGCAACGTCTAAAAACCTCCTTATTGCGTCAATTCGGGCCTACCGGCACGTTGCATCTAGGCTGCGTTTGCGTTGCAGATCGATACAACCCTGGGTCTGAAAACAAAAAACGGGAATGGGAAGCTTTTTCGACCCGGGAGATTAGAGGAGCTTCGTGGTGGTCTTGGGTGGGTGTGTCAAGGATAGGGAGGTTAGGTCGACTTGAATCCCACGGCAGCACGAGCCACTTTTTTGAGCAGTGGTCGGGACCACCTGACGATAGAGACCTAGATCGGTTATATACTAGTACGTAGTCTGTTTTTAGACGGAAATAGAGAGGGGAAAAAAGAAATGATAATCGAGGCTAAAGTATGTGGTTGGACCAATGTTTCTTTTTGTTTTGTATTCTTAGCCAAGAACAGTTATGTGGCCCGAAAGCGGCCGAAAAGGCCATTGCCGATGCTGTCCTGTTGTCTAATAAAAACTTGCTCACGTGGAGACTATCGAATCGCACTTGACTTGTTGGAACTACTAGGCTTAGTTGACAAGGTTGGGACTGCAGTTGGGACACCATACGGAGTACGGACAGTCAAGTCTGTCATCTCATCATCCTCCTCGCATTCGCCCATTCGCCCATTCGCCCGCCAAGTTGTCCAACATACAACATACTTAGACACTCGTATCGTCTTTAACTCTCAGGCGGTGGAGAATGTTCTGTTGGGGCGCTGGGCAAAAGCGGTGCGTGCTCAGCGTCGTCGAGTTTGGTGTTCCACACTGAGTTGGGATGAAACTATGACAACTTCTGCAGTCCGGATACTGATGATAGAACAACATTCTTGGTACATACCCGGAGGCTTGAGCCGCCTGCGCATGGCTGGATCTTCGCAGGGATTCCACCTGCAGGTGCTGCTAAGGGTACGCAAACGTGACCGTCTGTTTTAGGCGTGGCTCAATTTGCACTAGAACTGCCGGGAGGGTCGACATGCCCTGTTTCTGTTACCAGATCGATCAAGATTGCAGGGTTTCTGTATGTGTACTGTATGTATTGTACCGGGCACGTACCGCAGCTTTGGGCGCTGGATGTACCTAGGTAGGTATCGAATTAGCCGATGAATGGCCTGAGGTTATGTCATTCCTCAAGAGGTGTGTGTACACGAAGAACTGCAAGATCATGCTCGTGGGCAAATCCCGTAATTAAGGATGAAAGGGGGCCGGAATCACCCAGTCGGGTGAGTTGTTAGTCTGCCAAACGAAGCAGATGTAAGACAGTGATGCAGTTTTCGTGCTTGGCGGCCAATTGGAGGCATAGCCCTGGTGTTCTGAGTTGACATGCCTTTGGAAAGGAATCTCTACAGCAAGTCTACATACA